TTTTTTTTTTTCGATTTTTTTTTCGATTTTTTTTTTTTTTTTTTTTTTTTTTCCAGGGCCGGGTGTGCCGACACCTAACCCCCGGGACCCCTGCCGGGGCCCCGGGCCCGGGGGTCGACAACCCTGTCCACCGCAAGGGTTCCTCCTTCATATTCAAGGAACTCATCGATGGGTTCTGCATCCTCCACCCCTTCGGGTGTGATGCAGACCCGACTTAGCCCATCGGCCTTGTTCTGAGTCCAGCAATTCGTTCGATCTTGTAATCGAACTGCCAGATGAATCCTACCCAGCTCCCAACCGTCGGGTCTATAGGCTTGTAATTCTTTAAAGCCCCCGCGACATTGGTCGGATTGATTCTTAGGATAAAACGTCTTCCGAATAGGAGGCTTGGAAGGTCTTGAGGCAATGCAGGATGGCTAGGACCTCCTTCTTGAACTGTGAGTATCGCCATTCTGTCGAGTTCAGGGTTCTACTTTTGAACCTAATTGGCATTTTCTCCGCCCCTCATCCTTTTGAATCACAACGCACCCTACGGCCAAGGGTCCTCCGTTCGTCTCTAGAATAAACGGCCGTCTAACTTCGTCGTTAAAACAGGGCGATGCCAAAGTGACTTACTCCTTCAGGGTTTGGACGGCTCCCTCTCGCTCCTCCGTCCAATCCATGGTTCCTTCCTCTCTTGGCGCAAATAGGCTCAGCAATCTTGGCAAAATTTTTAATAAAGATCCTCCAAAAGCCGACCACGCCTAAGAACGTTCTTACCTCCGTCGTCGTGCGCAGGGGCGTTGGCCACTACGATATCTTGTTGGTTTTTGCTAGGTTCGACTTTCTTCCATATGCGCCACAACGAAACCTAGTATGGTTACTTCCGATACTGCCAGAATACTCTTCGGTCTGTTAGTCGTGATGTTGTATACCAGAATCAGCGGAGCAAGTCCTTGATGTCCTGTAGATGATCCCATACAAATTTTTGAATCCCTGGCTGGACTTTCGTCTCGTCCTTCTCTTGGGCGCCTTTGATCAGGTTGTCGTCAATGTAGGGTTCACACCTCTGGAAACATGTCCCTGGCTATGGCGAGCATCCTCCTTTGCGCTTCGGCTACTGCGTTCGTAAAACCCATAGGGGCTACCTACATCTACAACTGTCCTCGGGGGGTGTGCATTGCGGTGTATGGTCTGTCCCGAGCGTCCAATGGGAGCTGGTCGTACGCTGAATACAAGTCTACCAGGGAGTAAATGCTCCGACCGATGTGGGACTCTGCTAATAAGTCGGCCTGCGGTAGCGAACCGGCATCCCGGATGGTCACTGCATTCAACTTTTGCAGGTCTTGTATCCACTTCAGCGTCTTGTTGGGCTTTCGAAAGACGAACCACCGATTTGCGTATGGGGACGCGGTAGGCTCTGCGACGAAGGAATCCATTTTTGCTCGGAGAAGATCCGTCACTTCTCCTGCTATCCCGAACTTATAGGATGGTCCTTTGTCATTCCAGGACTCATGCTCTACTGTGTGGATTCTGACCGGAGGGATTAGCTTTGCGTCTAAACACCCCTTTTGACGATCACTCAAGGCGAATGTCAGATGAAACTCCTGGCACGTCCTTTTGATCAGGAGGGTTTCTTCTTCTGTTAAGAATCCCTCTATTCCTATCTTCATTGTGTCAGCCACCTCATCCGATATCTCTGTCGCTCGCCTTTCTCGGATTACTTGAAGCACCTCGTCCTCCCTTTCCATGGCCTCTTCCTTAGATGTCTCTAGCAGGATCGAGACCGACTTAGCTTTCTTCCCTACTGGCTTGTACTTTCGAACACTTCCTTCCGAGATCTTTCTCCTAAAAAATGAACGGCTGAAATTACCCTTGTTGCCTCTGCGACCCGCATGCGACCCGCAGTTGAATACTGATTATCTTTCCATTCAGACAATATCCCTTCTGCACTTCCCCTTCAAATTTGGCAAGCGCCGTCGGGTCCACCCCTACTTTGTGATACCTGATAACTTTGATGAGCTGTAATAAATCGGGGATCTCGAGTGCGACTTTCCAGTACCTCTATCCGTGCCTCTTTCTGCTTGGGCAGGCTGGCTCGAAGTTCAACTTCTTATTCCCTTTCCGCCACCATGATACCTAAGATTTCGTCCTCCTGCCTTCTCTTCTTTTGAGGCAGGCCCATCTTGATCCATTCTTTCTTGTTGAACGCTTCCTCAATCATAATTTCTACCCTTTCTCTCATATCCTCCATTTGTGCAAAAGCCCCCTTTCGAGCGCTATCTTCAAGTGATGGCGACCATGTTGCCAACTTTCCTTTAGGTGGGTCTCCTCCGGTCCCAATGAGTCGGAGGAGCTTTCCACGGCCAGTTACCGAGTCCTCTAAGTCTACCATGTATGTGCCATCATGCAGATGCATCCCTATCATTTCTACATTGCCGCACCACGGTCTCCCGAGGATTATGTCGTGGTCCATCTCGTCTAATACGGTCATCCGCTGAAATGACCAAATCGACTCCCGGATGCCCGCCTTGACCGCACATTTGTTGACGTACCTTGAAAACGGGATCTCGCCACCGGCCTCTCGGATGTTCCCCATTACTTCCTTGTTAACCACACAACCGGTAATTGTTGTCAAATCTCTCCTTATGAGTGTGATTTCCTCACCTCCGTCTACTAGGGCGTTTGTGTGATGTGTCCCGATCTGCACCTTTAACTTCCCTACGGGCAGCGCATGGAAACTAAGCTTCGTCCCGTGTGGAGCCCTCATGACTTCCCCACCTTCACAGTCTGGCAAGCTCAAGCGGATATCCGCAAAAGCCTTTTCTAGATCCTCCATATCTCCAGGACTCCTTTGAAGATTAGCAACTTCTTGTGGAGCTTCTTCCTCCTTTTCCTCTTCCCGTGATTCTGGATTTTCGTCTATCTCCACTCGTCGACGAGTCAATAGTTGTCTATGCCCTTTGAGCAGTCTGGGGCTCACTTGCAACATGGTTTGAAGGGATACTGACACCATGGTTCCCAGTAATTTGCTCAGGGTGTCGTCGATCTCTGGCATGGTTAAGATCGGAATTTGATACCTAAACTTTTTCTTGGCAGCGGTGACCTTATCCGTAGGCTCCTCTTCCCTAGGCTTCCCGTAAACTTTCTCTTGTTCCCCGATCTCAGGCTCCGCTTGGGTCGCGGAGCCCCCAGCAACCTCCTCCATCATAGTGTCACGGATAATTCTTCTTTCAGCCGTCCCTAGTCGAGTAGTCGCGTTCACCCTGTCGCGTCCGTCGCTTTCTAGGATGAAGTTGACCTGTGCCCCACGCCCTCGGAGTTGGTCCCATACGATATCGGCCACCGGTTCGTCTTCTACCGCGACTATCACTAACGGTGCGCCGCATCCCTCCGAGTGAGTTCCAGTTCACTTGTTCTCTTTGAGGTCCGAATATCTCCCCTTTTAATGACATGGTACATCTCCTTTTTATAATGTCGTGGTTGAGCTTTAGGCAAGCTCGCACAAAATATCCAACCGTGGTGCAATATCTACAATGCTCATTAGCGGGATCTCTCCGATTGAACCCTCGGTTGGCCACTCCTGCCGGGACTACGGCTTCTTAGGGAGGGAGGGAGGGTTGGGATACTTGTGCCTGCATAACCATCAGTGCACTCTCCACCTTTTCTATCTTATTGTGGACTCCGTGCACGCGTTCATGTAGACTCTCGATCCCCCTCTTTACCTTGTCGCTTGTCTTGCCGGTCAGATCTATGATCTCCCCTTCCTTAAGCAAGGCCAACGTTCCGGTCACTACCGTTTTCTCGGCCAGGTCCGTTACCGTTCTGAAATCAACATCCCTGGTGTTCACAAATTTGCTCGTTTGTTGGTAAGCCGACATAATCTTGTCTTTATCGAACTCGGAGAACTGCCTGAGGAAATACTTGCTCATTATCCGGTCCGTTACCCTGGGGATCCTTAGCGATACCAGGGTAAACTCTCTCAGGAAGTCATTGAGCGTTGCGAAGTTCTTCCTTTGTAGTGCCGCTAATTCGACCTCTATTGCCGTCTTCTCAGCCGCCAGGTACTTCCTCATCATTACGTCCCGGGTCTCCTTTCAAGATCGGCTTGCGGCCACGAAGGTCCTTATGCCTCGTCCTAGGCCCAACGACACATGATGTTCTAGGTGGTCCATCTTCTCCTCTTCACTCCATTTCAGCAACGCGGCCAGGTTCTCGTAATCTATTAGGAATTTCGTGATGTTTGCCCCGTCAAACGTCAACTTTTTCTTAGCGTCCGCTAGGTAGCCTTGATTTTTGTTTAGTGCTCGTGCGAGGGACGACACCATCTTCCTGAGGCCACCCTCGGAGCCGCTGGTCTCGCCTACCGTACTGGTTTCCTGCCCCTCTTTGTCGACCCTCTGTCCTTCTCTAGTTTTCGCAGTTTCCTCCAGGTCAAACCACCCAACACCCTTTCCCTAACGCTCCAGAGCTCCTCGCACCCTCGCATTACTGTTGGTGCGGCCGGCAGGCGGCTAGCCCTGCTATCTATGGCTGGCGGGTTTGTAGCTTTTTTCGCTTCCATTCCGGGGGAGTTCTCTCTCTCCTTCCTTATTTTGCTCGGTGTTCCTCCACGATCACTACCCTTACCCCCTTGCCCAATGCCACCTCGGCTGACCTTCCGTTCGTCCGGCGGTTCTTCCTGCGGGAGGTCTTCCTCGTTTCCAATCATCATCTCCTCAATCAATCTTGCCTTGTACTCTGCGGTTCTCTTCTCTATTTCTGCTAGTTTGTGCCTCGCGTCCATGATTCTCGCCTTCTTAGATACAGCTCCATCTGAATTTCGTGCGCTCGACCTGTCCTTATTCCTACCCTCCCTGGTCTCCTGGGTTCCTTGCTTGCTTCCCCCGACTTTTCCCGAGCTTTCCCCTGAGGAGATATCTTTCCTGTTCCCCTTGGTACCATCCGGATTTATCGATTCTCTGTCCTTCTGACCCTCCTCGCTTTGTACGACGCTGCCTCCTAAGCTTGGTCCTCCCTCGCTCCTACAATTGTCTGTCTCATCTTCCATTGCCATTTTGCCTAGATCTGCATAAACCAGAGGATTCCCTGAGACACAGGCAGCTCGAGGCATTCAGGTTCCATAGGCTCTAGTCCTTCCAGTTTATCTTATTCAGAGAGTAGCCCCTTCCCCATTTTTGTCCTCTGATTGCTTTCCTAAAAAAAAATTGTGGCCGGCCCTGCTTCCCTATTGAGCTAAGGAACAAAACTTAGTTCCCCTTATGACAGGCTCGCTTAGAGCCTCCCAGTTCGTCGTGTCGGCGCGCAGGAGGTCCGGTTGGGCACTCCGTCAGGAAGGGTCCCCGGTCAGTATTCCTTTCAACTTTTCTGGTTATGGCAATTATCGTGGATCTATCCCTTCCCTGGTTTACGCAAAATGCGAGTTCGGCTGCCCTTGCTTCCTGAACGTCGCAGGCGTTCCAGTAGCGGGGGTCCTTCTTAGGATCGGGCCTTCGTTCGACATCCCGAAGCACCCCTACTTCGCCGCGCGTAGCCGGGCAAGGTTCGCATCGGTTCCGGTCGGCCCGCCTTGGCCGGGTGTACCCCTCCACCATTTCCCTGACTTCACGCTTCTATCGCCCCTTCCCTATTCCGTAGCGGGTTTTTGATTGTCTGGGTCCGACGGTCCTTCACTATTCCCATCGGCAAGCCTCTATACGTAATGGAGTATACTTTATTTGCCATACCGGCTTGCTCCACGGTGCTAGTCCCGCTCTCGTCCCCGTGGCCCTTTTGGTTCGGTAGGCTCCTTGAACAGTTGAGCCAACCCTGCCAGATAGCTCTCTCCTATCTCGATCTCTCTCCGAATTATGTGCTCGTATTCCTCGCAGGTTAACCGTGGCAACCCAAATATCAGAATATTGATGACCTCCAACAGCTCCTGGGTCCGGTTTCCCCAGAACGGCCCGTGTAGACTTTCATCAATTCCTGCGAGTTCTGACTACCGTCTTCCCCCGAACATAACGCACCCTAAAAATGAATGTATACAAGCTATATTTCCGACTAGATACAACCAAAACAAGAGTGTGTTGTGTTCGAGGGAAGACGGTAGTGAACCGGGTGTCTCTATCGCTTTTTTTTTTT